AAAATGTACTGTGAAATGTACCCTGAAGAATTAATTTTTTGACGTCCGCGAGACGACGATTTAATCCTAAAGGTCCGTCCAGATCTTCTCCCACAATTGCGCGAAATCGATCGATCGAAACGCGCGATATATGAATACGTCATCGGGTCTCGTTAGCGGACACGATTGGTCGATTTCTTTTTCGTCGAAGGAACACGCGGACAAAATTTATATCTCGCAGTTTATTTAAATGTCAAATACATTCCTCAGAAAAAGAGAAAAAATTGACAGGAGTGTCAGGCAGACTAATTAATCGAAACCGATGTAATTAATTAATTAATTCCGAGGAACCTTTGACACCTCGTATCACCGAGAAATCGATCGATCGATCGAACGCGCGATATAAATACGTCATACCACAGATTAATAGACAGATCGCCAAAGGTCTGGATGAAGGAGAGACCAGCATTTCTCACTGATTTCAGCGCCATATCGTAGTAGTGGTCAATGCAGTAACTATTAATACGTTCCCAAGATAAGAGCGTCTCATGCTCATGAACTCGTCCGGCGGCATGTACGAGATTTATCTTTTCGTAGCGTTCGCGTATTTCGGAAAGGACAGAATTTTATGATGTTATAAATAAATAAATAAATAAATAAATAAAATATTAACCTGATCTATTATAATTATTTTTTAATAAATGTTTCATTATTATTATCATCTAAGTCTAAGTCGTTTAATTAATTTTTAGTTTTTTAATAATTAATTTAATTTATTCTAATCATTTTAATATGTGAAAAATACTAATACGTATACGTTTTATAATGAATTAATATATTTCGAGAGTCGAATTATATATTTTTAATAATATAAAAGTGTTCAAAAATTATATTTGACTTTTAATTTTAATTATTTTTAGCAAAGAGTTCCGAAATCTCTTACACACATAATAGGGATTTTGTTCATCCATATAATTCGCAATTAAGTATATATGTTAATTATTAATTTTAATAAAATACAAAATTAAAATTAAAGGTCAAATATAATTTTTTAACATAAATATATTTAATTCGTTATAAAACGTATACCCGTGATAGTATTTTTCTCGTACAAAAATAACTAGAACAAATTAAATTACTCATAAAAAAATAAAAAAATAATTAAATAATTTATATTATATATGATAATAATAAAACATTTTATAAAAAAACAGATTCAATAAATATAAGTATATATATAACATGTACTTATATTTATTGAATCTGTTTTTTAATAAAATGTTTTATAAGCTTAGAAAACTTGACTTTGACGTAACTTTTATTTTTACTAAGCAAATTTTATTTAATTATTTCACGACGGTTTGACGTAATAAAATGTTTTATTATTATTATATAAAATATAAGTTTAAATTCTTTAATTAATTTTTAATCTTTTATGATTAATTTAATTTACTCTAATTATTTTTGTACGAGAAAAATACTATCATAAGTATACGTTTTATAATTAATTTAATATATTTGTGTTTAAAAATTATATTTGACCTTTAATTTTAATTTTTATTTTATTAAAATTAATAATTAACATATATACTTAATTGCGAATTATATGGATGAAAAAAATCCCCATTATGTGTGTAAGAGATTTCGAAACTCTTTGCTATAAAATAATTAAAATTAAAAGTTAAATATAATTTTTGAACACTTTTATATTATTAAGAATATATAATTCGGTTCCCGAAATATATTAATTCATTATAAAACGTATACGTGATATTATTTTTCTCATATAAAAATGACTAGAATAAATTAAATTAATTATTAAAAAACTAAAAAGTAATTAAACGACTTAGACTTAGATGATAATAATAATGAAACATTTTATTAAAAAAAGATTCAATAACTAGTAGGTCAGGTTATAATTTTTTATTTATTTATTTATAACATTATGAGCTATTAAGCTCATCATCTCGTTCGCTCTCTGTCTTGCTTTCATTCGGCAAGTCACAAACGATATATGATACTCGTATGTTCCTACTTCAACTCTCGAGAATCTGAAACAAACGAAACTCGTGTCCAATATACAGGGTGTCCGGTAACTAACAGACCAATGATTACAAATGGATTCTTTGGTCAATTTGGGAACGATTTTTCCTCAGCAAAAATGTCGAAAAAGGTCATCATTTTTTACAACTTTCCAATCTTTGTCATTATGTATCTTTATAACTAAGCCTTAAATTAAAATTTTATTATAGTAAACTCTACCTGAAATTAACTGAAGAATGTAATTATGTTAGACTTTTAACTCCAAAACGTTTAGTTTTCAAAAAACCTATTTTTTTCAATCGCTTATAACTCGAAAATTATTGACTTCTCAACATTTTTGCTAAGGAAAAATCGTCTCCAAATTAGCCAGAGAATCCGCCCTTAATCATTGGTCCGTTAGTTACCGGACACCTTGTATATATTATATAAAAGTGTATAGCACGTCAGAAGCTTGTGAGCTTACAGCGATAAGTAAAAACAATTGCGTATTTATTTCATTGCGTTTATCTGTTTAAACGCGCGCTTTAATTTTTCCAACGTTTTTGCCTGTTTATATTTTAAAGGTCCTCTCTTCTAAAAATCTTGTTTTAAAGATCCTCTCCGCGAGCAAAATTCGAAAACATAAATTATTTAAATTTAATAAGGAAAACAATTAGATATTTAAAGACAAGGCTCGTGTGATATTATAAAATTAAGATTTAGAAAGACAGGGCCAACTATAACGAGCATATTAAATTAGTGAGAGATGTAATGTCAACACATAATTGATTTATTTCTTAGTAGATACAATGATAATAAAAATAATAAAACGTTTCGGCTGTTACCTCAGCCTTCTTCAGTAAATATAAAAACAATAAAAATTCTCTTAAGAAAAATTATGACATATTACGCATTAGAGTCTATTTTTTAATGAACATTTTGGTTTAATAAGTCGATGAATTTAAATTGGGTTACGCTTATAACATTTATTAAATTAGATATTTTTTCTAATCGGCTAACCATTTTTTAGTTAAGATGGTAAACTTTTTGATTATGTCAAAAAACATGTAAACGAGTTCCCTGTTGTTAGTAGAACAGGTTGACGGCCCATTCCACGTCATCAATTCTTTTGAACATATATTATTAGTTAAAATTATCGTCAGAACCGCTTGATATGAGAATTGAAAACAATTAGATGTTATCCAGCATCAAAAAGTTAGTCCCCATCATCAAGGATATTTCCAAGTAAGTTCGTCATTGCAGTATATTTCACCGTGATTGTCTAAGTATATTTTTATTTTTTGGTATATTAATTTATATTAATAAGTTATTTTTTTTATGTGAAAGATCTTAATTGTGTTTAGAATTGCTTACTTAAATTGATGAGTATTCAAGATTCCGCCAAGTTGATGTGTTCACTATACAAAGTCACATAAATTATTTAATATTTTTACTTTATTATTTGTAAATCCTCGGTAATTTCAAAATTTTTCTATTTGAAAATTATTAATTTTCTATTGCCAATTAATTTTATCACAGACTTTACTCTTACTCCCATTGCACTTTCGTTTGCGGTTTTCAGTATACGATTTTTTATCGTAGTTACTGAAAATTATTATTGTGAATTATACTTGTGCAGTGATTTGAAGAATTTACAATTTCGTTGAAATTGTTGATTTTTCAAAAAAATTACGAGATTCGCGGAAATTGCGTGCTTTCTTGGCATTTTCCGTTCGCGGCAGGCGGTTTATTTTTGATTGTTGCAAGTGTTTTTGTTTTTTTTTTTTATTAAATAGATAATAATAATGTGAAATAAATCACGATATTTGACAGATGTGCATATATATAGAAATTGTAATAATAATAATATTATATCATAAAATTGTAAATTGTTTCAATTTTTTATAGACTGCGATAAAAGATTTTACATTTGGATAAGAAACTGCGGTAAGTAAAAATATAAAATTCTTGAAAACGTAAAAATATTTGATAACGTAAAAAGGTGAACTTTGAAAAATAAGGAACTTAAAAATTGCACTAATAAATGGGCTATATATATGTGAGCCGTGCGCGGATGTAAGGTGTGTTATATCGAAATTTAATTAATAGAATTGAGAATTAATCCCAATTTTAAGTCTTACAAATGTCCAAGCTAATTTTTTGTACCTCGTGTACATTTTTGAAAGTTATATCGAAAAATTAAATTTCAATATGCGTCTTACATCTCACATTTCGCATACAGCTCACATATAGCCTATTTATCTCTTATACTTTATTTCAACCCTTATAGAAATTTATTACTAGTAACGCCAATTTATCACTTATTTCGAGTAATTAATCACTTTTATTTTGAATACTTAAATTACTGTATATTATAGTATTTTAAATACTCGAAATAAGTGATTAATTGGCGTAGTGATAAATTTCTACAAGAGAATAAGGAGCCTTTAAATTCTTAATGTAAAAAATTTCAAGTAATTTTTTTTAATAAAATTTAATTAAAAAATTTAATTAAAAAATTTTTGAACACTGTGTTATATCACATTTAAAATCGTGATTATTTCAATAAAAAAACATTTTATGTGTAAAAAATATATTTTTTATATTTAATAAATTTTATATATATATATGCATATATGTAAAATATTCTCTCTCTCTCTCTCTCTCTCTCTCTCTCTCTCTCACACACACACACACACACACACACAACGGGGGCCAAATCTCTCAAATTGGTCTCATGATCAATTAGCCTGGATTCGCACCAGGGGCAAAGTCTGTTGGTAATGTCAAACGAATTTAGCCTGGACTTGCACCAGGGGCAAAGTCTTTTGGTCGAGTCTACGAAATTTAGCACGGACTCGAACCAGGGGCAAAGTCTTTTGGTTCAAGTCTACGAAATTTAGCACGGACTCGAACCAGGGGCAAAGTGTGTCGGTAAGGGGCAAAGTCTATCGCACGAAGATGGCGGTCTCTTCTTTAGGCAGGCCTTTGGCGATCTGTCTATTAATCTGTGGTCATACGTCATCGAGTCTCGATTAGTCTCTCCAATTTTATTTAGACAAAAATATGATTGCCAGAGAAAAAAATAACAGAAAATAATTAATAAAAAATTCAATGTAATAAATTAATTAATTAACTGCTGGATACCTTTGACAGTTCACACCTCGTCACACAGATACACACACACACACATATGTTTGCATATACACTCGGCTGGTTCTTTGTATTGACCCACCCACACCTTCTTCCGTAGAGCGTTCGTCCGTCATCTCAGATTGCTCTCAACCTCCTTGGCCTCTCAGCCTCCTCGTCGTCGGGGAGGAGACAAAGGGTCGAGCGTCGAATATCTACGTGTTCGTCGTCGCCGAGAGTCGATCGGGTCGACGAGATCGATCATGTGACAGCAGGAATCGCATGTCTGTGCGACGCGAGGTCGTCGCGAGAGCGCAGCGCCCTGAAGGGAGAAAAAAGAGGGAAAAGCGAGTCGAACGAGTGAGCATCCCGGGAACTGTCAGATTGACCGCGCCTGGGCGTCACTGGGCATCGGAGGCGACAACGTCGCGGCACATGTTCCGAAGACGCGCCGAGAGGTTGAGAACCGCTCGATTTTGTGTATATTAATCCCCTTATCTTTTCTTTTCTCTCTCTCTCTCTCTCTTTTTCTCCTCTTCCTCTGAAATTTGCACGATGAAAGGGGACGTTCCTCGTCGACGTCTCGTGTCATCTGCTCCGAAACTCGATCCGTTTACACACATGTGAAATAGATCCAATTGTTTAACCGATGAACATCAAATGTATATAGATAAATATAGCTTGTAGCGTGCAAAAAAACTTGTCAATATACCACGTAATATTAATTAACGCGCAATGTGTCGCGATAATGTCTTCCGTATTTCGTTGTTGATATTTGAGGAAATTTATATATTATGTATGTGTTACACAATTATTACATATGTGAAACGCACTCATATCTTACGTAAATAGGTATATATTTATATATTGTATTCTCTTATCTTACAGATAACTTGCGACAGGTGAACGTTCTATCCTTGGCAGAACAATGACTTCGGATTACTTCGATTTGCCGATTAATAATATGGACAGAGTGTGCAGGATTTGTCTCACCGAGGGTACCAATCTATCGTCAATCTTCTCCGCTAATGAAGAAGTAAACGATTTCTCGGGTCTCCCTCAGAAAATACAAGTCTGTGGTTCCATCGAGATTCACGAACAGGATGGATTGCCTTCTTTGATATGCGACGTTTGTATTTATAAGGCGAGGATTGCGCACGAATTCAGAGAGCAATGTCAACATTCCGATGCAAGATTACGCATGTACTATAACAAGCCTGCTAAATGTAATATTACGGTAAATATCACTTTGCCAGTGTACATATTGTTAGTGTTGAAATATACCAATATATTCATTAATGCAATGTGTATATTTTATTTTCAGGATTCCTGTACACAGACAGATCTACAAACAAAATTTGTACTATCGACAAAGACAGATCATATTCAAGAGGATTATTATGTGAAACAACAAGATATGCAGGTGGTTGCAAATCCACAAGAGTACATTCAATCCACTGACTCGTTTTCCAGAGACGAAATCAATTTAAATACCAATCAAATTCACATGTCCGATGATAAGCTATTTATATGTTCTATCGGATTTGAGGGGAGTAAAGAAGAAGGGAAAGATTCCTGCATATCGGAGAGCGAGGTTCATCAGATGACAATGGTGCAGGAGGAAGATGCACAGGAGGATGCGTCTAACATTATGAATCTGCAAAATAAAGATGATGAGACCAAGGAAATTGATCAGTACATAGAGAAAGACTGTACGGAACAGGAGGAGTTTGTCAGTGAGAGCTTACCTAATGATAATGTAGAAGAGGAGGAGAGCGTCCCACAGAAACGCACGTCCATGAGGAAAACGAAAATGACATCGACTAATAAGACGTACAGCGACGACGAGATCGGCGACAATTATTACGAGCCGAGCAGCGAGAGTCAAGATTCCGTCGACTTGAAATTCAAATGTAAAGTCTGCTCCAAAGAATACACCACGCAAAAGGGTCTGAAGAAGCATTCGCTGGTCCATGAGAAAAAGTACAAATGCAACATCTGCTTAAAGATGTTTTACAAACAGGAGAACATGGAGAACCATCAGAAGATACACGCGTCGAAACCGCACGCGTGTCAACTCTGTCACGCGTCATTCTCAAAATCCCAGAGCCTCGTGAAACACCTGAAATCTCATACGGAGAAGGTGAACGATATGATCAAGCAGATCAATACGAGCGAGCGGAAGGATAATAAGGAACCGAAAAAAGAGCTCAAACTCGAGGACGACACCGACGACGAAACCGGGCCTGCGAACGAAACGGACGAGTTCGAGAATGCGCCTGAATTGTACAAATGTGAGATTTGCAATCAATACTGTTCGTCCCTAAAGAACCTGAGAAGGCACGCCCTCGTGCACGGCGATAAGAAGTACTCGTGCACCGTATGCAAGAAGTGGTTCTTCAGGCCAGACACGTTGAAGAAACACGCGGAGAAGCATGGACACGGATTGTTGGACAATCTCGCGGACGACAATAAGCTGTACGATTCGGACGACGACGATACGCCTGCTAACAACATCGCGGACACTCCTGTACAGGAAAGCGAGAACGTGAAGAAAGAGGAGAGCGACGAGGAGGGAGGTTCCGGAGAGTATAAGTGCCAGCACTGCGACAAAGTCATGGCCACGAAGAAGGGTCTACGACGCCACGTGTCGATGCACAAACCGAAAGCCGAACCCGTGACCTGCGAGGTCTGCAGGAAGGTCTGCGCTAGTCAGGCTCGTCTCATTCTTCATCAGAGAACGCACAAGCCGAAAGAGAAGGTTCCGCGCGAATATTTATGTCACATTTGTAGCAAGGTGTATCCCAGCAACTCGTCCTTGACGTATCACATGCGAACTCACACCGGCGTTAAGCCGCATGTGTGCAAGACCTGCAACAGCGGCTTCACCACGACGACGAGTCTGGCAAATCACATTCGCATTCATACAGGCGACAAGCCGTTCGTCTGCCACGTCTGTTCAGCCGCGTTTGCCGTGAGCTCGGCCTTCCGTAGACACCTGACTCGACACACCGGCGAGGCGAATTATCTCTGCAAGACCTGCGGCAAGGCCTTCAAGCGTCTCAGTACCTTGAAAGAGCACACGTACACCCATTCTGGCGAGAAGCCGTACGTATGTAAGACCTGCGGAGCCGCGTACAGTCACAGCGGCAGCCTGTTCGCGCACCAGAAGCGCTGCCGCGCCCAATACGGCGAGATGATCGTCGACGATCACAATCATCATCATCATATACCGCACTCGGTCACTCATATTCACGTCAACATGAATAATGTGAATAATGGTGCGGGAGTGCGACCAGTCGCTGTGATAGGCCAAATGTTCTAAGATCAGAGATGTGTGTTCCGTAGACTTTGGCATTTCGGAGAGTAACTGTGTTTACTGTATGCAAATCCTGATCCTGTGTTGAGCCAGCAAGTGTGTGTTCACACATTACAATGAAACACGAATTACAATGTCACCTGTAAATATCACCACGCAGCTTCTTTTGGACAATAAGAAAAAAACATTCTTTGAGTATACCTTGCACTTGTGTACAAGGCTGTTGTATGTTAGTGTTTTGCTTTTAGAAACACAGTAAATCGGTGGTGTCATTGAATTATAATATGACATTGCGAAGAACAAAGTTTTCCAAATAAAATGTAATAAATTGCCATGATTAAAGTCGCAAACTATTTTTTTATTATTTGTGATGTCATAGGTATGAATATATGTGGGTGCTGCACATATATCAATATCATGTGTATATAGATATATATATATTTTTATACCCATACAAGAGAACATATATACACACACATATAATCCAGATCTTGTTGTACCACATATTACACGATAATTGTTCATATTACTGCATTATTTAGAAGCAAATAAATAGTTTGCTTTCATCTTGTTTCTTTATCAGATCACCGACCTAGTTGTCTATTAACTTCCTCAGACTTCATGTAATAGTGTGAGGATTAAAATAAAAAATAGATTTTTTTGGCTTTGATGAGAGAAATATATCAAATCCTGATTTTAAAATTTAAAAAATGCTGATATTTTCTTTCAGATTAATGAATTTATAAACAAATTTGCGAATAAATACTCATATTTTTTTATTGTCAAAGTACGACACGATTATAAACATCATTGATTCTTAAACTACTACAAAATTATTAAGTAATTAAGATATATAGCAATACCTGTGCTAGAAGTGTAATATCAGGTACACAATTTCTGGGCTGTAATGTGATGTAAAATAACAACTGGATGAAAGAGATTAGCAAGTTTTACTCATTTAGTAAAGTTCGTCGGCTTATTCTGCCGCCAAAATGCATCATAATAAACAAACGATAATTGTATACATATTCGCATTATAATAGATTTACATAACAATAAATTAGATTACACGAAAATACAAAATGTTTATAATTATCGTGATGCTCAAATATCACAAAAAATTGATAATCATATTTTTTATTTTATCAAAAGAAAAAAATTTAAAGTTATATGTTGGATGACTAATAAGCACGTATATTTTTGTAAAGCTAAATATTCATTTTTCTGAAAATTTAATTTGGAAAAAAATATTTCGTAAAAGCACATTTCTTCGATAAACATGTCTAAAATATTAGAGTTTATACTTACATTAAACTTGTAATCAAATGAATGATTAGGTTAGAAAATGATTTTATAAACTGAACAAAAATAAATGAAAAATGTACAAATATATACATACATAGCGAGACTGATCATTTTCATTGAAATATTTACTAATACATAAAGCTTATAAATCTTATTCTCTAAATGATAAGTGAAGTAAAGTTTGTATTTTAAAAATCTTAGCTAGTGTTATCATTTTATTGTATTTTTTTAATTGCTAATATGTAGAATTATTATTCAGATTCAGCCCATAATTCTTATCAAAACACTGGAGCTCTCAGTCTTATTGCATACAATTAAATGGCTTTTTAAAACTCAAAACATTACTCAATTTCTTTCCCCACAGCGTTTATATAATTATTTCAATATATATTTGTCTATACATTAAAAATTATACTTATATTGGAAGATGCTATACATCTCTGCATATAAGTTATTAGTTATAAATAATATACAAGGAGAAGCCTGAAATCATAGGATCTAAAAAGAAAAAGATACTGGGAAACAAAATAAGCTAATAAAAATGCATTTAATTTTGATTTAATTATGGCAAGTACTTCACATTATATTTTTGATTTAGTATAAACTTGTTTTGAAAACTTATATGAAATAAGACTTATTTTTAATAGACACATACGCATACATACATACATACATATTCACAATAAAATATAATTGATAAAAACATTTTATAAAAATGTTATGACATGTTTAATCTCTTCTATGCAAAGATATATTAAATAAGCAAACTGCTTGTATTTTTTTCAATTTTTCATTTTTGTATTCTTTTTATTGTCAATTTAGAATTATTTCAATAATTTTTATTTTATTAATTGACAAGAAATAGAACTTTATAATGTGTAAGGCACTACAAATTCTGATATAAAATTTAATAGAATTTCTTTCATATATTATAATATAAAAATATACACGTATGTATATGTCTAACCTTGATAAAAACAAAATAATGAAAAGCCATACCATATTTGTACAAAAATATATCATGTATATTTTTGTATATTGTTAATAATATATCTAGAAATAAATAATACGTACAATAATTTCTAATAATATCTAGGAATTTTTAAGTTTTCTTTCTTTCTTCAATATTCGGTAACGTCGCCAAATAGAATGTCTTGTTCTCCGAAGTGCTTTAGCCAAATCAACATACTTACGTTTTTCGTCGAGAGAGGGGTTATTTTCTAAATGATTTAATATCATTTGATCTTCGGCAGGGGTAAATCTAGAAATTTTAAAGAAATCAAAATACCAAACACTGTCATTCTTATAAAAAATTAAAAAAATTATTTAGATGTATGTATTTGTTATATGTTACCTTCTTTGTACATTATTCTCATATAAATTTCTAAATCGATGGTAAACACTGTACAAAGTTCTATTTGTTAAACCATTAGCTAAAAATTGTACAAATCTCCGCCTTTCTAAAGTATTACGCATGTATGTAACTTTGCCAACTCTTAATTGTAAGAATGGATGAATTTTTTTAATATCCCAATCATGTATCTATTTTAAAATTAATAGAAAATTTATTTAGATAAAATTAAATTTATTAGACAAATTATTCTTATATACAAACCTTACAAAACTCTTTCCAATTACTAACAATAATGTTGTCTTCATCAATAGTATATAAGCCTCTCTTGATTGGTACTATTTTTCAAACTTTTCTATTTGCTCTCTTGATGGCATATGAGATCCCGCACGTGTTTCAATTTCATGTTGCGGTGGTACTGTATGCTTCAGTTTAACTTTTAAGCTGTACAATTTCTACAATAGGAAGTACATATTTTACAGTTATGTTCTAGTAATAAAAATTTTATTACATTGAAATTCTTTCAAAATCATTACCACTATATCTGATTGAAGTAGTCTCTCTGCTGATGTTATTTTTCGTGCTATATATGTCGCATCGCTACAATATTCTTCTTCCACATTATCATCCTCAGATTCAGCATCCTGATAAATATTTTCATCATTCGTTTTTATATCGTCAATATTTTCAGCTTTGGATTCCATTTTGATATTGATCTGAATCATTAATAACAATCAATTTTTCCAAGCATAAATCAATTATAAGAATTCTTTAAAAAATATACATCATCATTATTATACATAGAAATAAATAAATTCAACTCTTTTTATATATATTATATATTATAGAAACTATATAAATCATGTTTTGTTTCAAATATTTATAAAATCAGCTAACAGTTATATATATATATATATGCTTATATAGAAAAGTTGTATAAAAAAAACCCCAAGCAAACATAACTTTCACTTAACTTTCACACTTTCAAATTGAAGAGAATTCGAATTTCGTCAAATATTACGAAAATTAAATATTATTAAATTATTTCTATAGTATAAATTCGTTAAACACTTAAAATTACTGCATAAAAAAATTTCATAAACGTAAGGAAGGATTCAATATAAATCGAATGTTATATTAATCTTTGCGTAATATTGTAAAACTAAAACTATGATTTTTTAAACAAATTAATTTATTCATTTATTGTCTCATTAAGCTAAAATATTATCTGCGCCTTACCTTTTTACGAACATCAGTTGAAAAAAAACACTGCTGAGGTTATAGTTCTCTCATTGAACTGCCAGTGCTTTTAACTTGAAAAAATAACTAGCACCAGCTAGCACGTGCATTTATCTCCACAATTCTAAAGTCACTAGGACTTTAATTTTTAATTCCTCAAAATATATGTACATAGATAAAAATATGTTAATAATATATGTCAATAATATATGTAATGTGAGCAACGGAAACATTCTCAATTCTCTATTCTACATTGTTTTTTCTGTCTTTTTGCTATTTTTTTCAATATTTTGTTATGTAAACATAATTTTACAAATTTTACTTTACATTCATAATTTGCGATCCAAAAAGCTTCTACATATGAAACATTAATTTTGTTATATTTATAAGGATAGAGAAAAAAATAAAAAGATAAAGATAAAAAATTCAATATTTTCCGAATTTAAAGGTCTATGAACTACTCATAAAACTGCGTATGGGCACAAATAAAAAAGTACGGGTCAAATATTTTTGGTGGTAAATTTGTACCCTATTTTTATTTACTATTTATTTATTATTTGTACCCTATTTTTATTTACTATTTATTTATTATTTGTACCCTATTTTTATTTGCACCCTATGCTGTCACATGAATTTTGAATACTGTGGGATAAAAGATGTCGTGTCAATCGTCTCGATCGAAAATTCGTATACACGAGACTATCTAGAGAATTTGTGAATCATGGTTAACGTCGCTTAGATATAAATAATAAATATTCACTGCTCCGGATTATCGTGATTTATGATAAAGTGCGCATAAAACGAAATGGCATTATTCCGGGCATTGCCCGTCAGAATCGGGGCAACATCCAAGCTCGTCTCACGGAGTGTTCCAGCCGTGTTTTATCATGCGAATGTAAATATTAATTTACGTGCTTATCATCATTCCCGGTTTCCTAACCTCTCGTCTTTGCACACGTCGTTAAAATTTTCATTATTATTATGTCTGCATTGTAATTTTCTTTAATTCAGCGTTAAATTTACGATATAAATGTAATTTTAAATATGCGATCTCAACGATTTTATTTTCGTTTCGCATCAATAAGTATTGCAATTTTAATACTTCAAGATTGATTGAATTATTTAATAAATCGGCGTGGAATTTATGGGTATAAATATAGATCTTCTTTTTAAAGAATCTTGTTTACATGTAACGATTGTTGCGCATTTCGTGAGGAATGACTATCTTCTATTATTATATTCGGAATTGTTCTATAATAGTCAGCTGATTGTGTGGTGTAGTATGGTGTAATCTATTACTCATCATATATAGATCGATTTGCGTCACTTCACGTCACTTCGATATTTTTATTTATTTCGATCACCATTTAAATTACGCATCATAGTTGAGCAGATGTTAACAAAAGATTAGTACAATTGAATTAATATTTCAATTCACAAATATTTTAAGTATATAGTTTTATGTTAAAGACAATAAATTAATAAAAGAAATAAATCGAATAAAGTGTTATTTAATTACATTAAATGCTAATTATATATCATTGTTTTTGTGTCTCATGATGGTATATATTGTTATTTATATATCATTATTTTTCCGAAATGACAGATAAATATTCTGATTTTATGACATGATAGGTACTAGATCATTATGAAAATCCAAGAAATGTCGGTTCACTGGACAAGAATGATACACAAGTTGGGACAGGTCTTGTGGGAGCTCCTGCTTGTGGTGATGTGATGAAACTTCAGATCAAAGTTGACGATGATGGCAAGATAATCGATGCCAAATTCAAGACTTTTGGTTGTGGCTCCGCCATTGCTTCAAGTTCTCTTGCGACAGAATGGGTTAAAGGAAAGACGGTGAGATTTTTACATAATTCATAATTATCACAATACAGTGCTTAAGAGAAAGAGACCTATAGTCATTCTTTCGTTATTATTTATTTTTACTGAAAGAATATATGTATATGCTCTACATACAAAAATCTTGTAAAATCTTTGTTGTGTATAAACTTTGTATTTCAACTTTGTTTCTTAGGTGGATGAGGCGTTGGCATTGAAAAATACTGACATTGCTAAAGAGCTTTGCCTTCCTCCTGTCAAGCTACACTGTTCGAGTAAGTACATGCTCACATTTCTATCTAGAATTTTATTAGATTAAATTTTAGTGTATAAATAATAAAGTATTTTCAGAATTAATAAGAAAATATATATTTTTAGAAGATTAATAATAGAAGTTAGCCAACAAAAGTTGAATATACATCAAGTTTTCATAATTACAATTTTAATGGTATTTTTTCTTACAAATTATAGTGCTTGCCGAGGACGCAATTAAGGCTGCTTTGTCAGATTATCGTATCAAACAACAGTCAAAGAAGAAAGATTAGAATGGGGTCACCAACAACGCAAGTTAAAATTGATTATGTAATAGTACGCGATAGTAATAAAAATATAGATATAATTTACTTTTCTCTTCTCGCAGATATTTAAGATTATCGTGCTATTATAATCATATTTAGATAGAACTAAGGAAATAACATTCCTTAGACTTATCTTTTTAAAAATGTTTATACTAATGGGATAAAAATTGTACCTGTACTCTATACTATTTTATGATAGATGAAATAAATTTATTTAATTAAATTTTGAAGCGGAAAATGCACATTCTATCATCTCTTATAATACACTACGATTAAAATTAATTACTCATCTGTGAAATATATATTGACTTCATCATTTATTATATATCAGAGCAGATTAGAAAACGATGATTATTACGTCACACAGTGTGACTGACGCGATAAATAGCGGTGTGATCGATGTTGTTATCAATGAAAAAGCCACGGGGGCCATGTGCGACGACCTAAAACTAAATGACTCGTAAAACGCACTTTGTGACGCGCGCGTGTTTTCCATCTGCGGCTGCTTTTATCTGTTGCTTTGCAATTGCCTCTTAGTTCCATGAAATGTCCCCGACTATGCTTTTGCGTTCTACGAGATATTTATTTTTTGCTTTAAAATTATCGATATATGTATCTTTATTTTTATCTCGTTTCATAAATTTCAAGCCGAATTTTCGTTTTAAACGCATTATTTAGAGCTGAACATAATATTTCTTGACAAAAAACATCGAAACATTCTATATTTTTGACATCACGAACGATCACAAAGTGTATCTAAAAATATATTTAGCGTCCTACTATTCTTTATCATCTCTTACTTTTTTTGTAAAAAAACATCCTCTCTCTTTCTCAGTTGAAAGAAAAATATACATATAATATTTATCACATTTTCAATGTATTTTTGCTAATTAAATTTCTAAAAATTTAAAGAACGAAATCTAGAAAAATTAATTGATGATGTATGATATAATATATGTATAATCGATTTGCTTAATTTATTTTATATATCGTTTTTTTTTATGAAAATATCTTGGGTTTTTTTCTATATGTTTCAAAGAAACTGGAATAGTAATCAGACTTTACGCGGAAAATGTATTTTCCTTTTTCGAATAGTTTACATACTTTGTATGAATTAAGCGAGGTGGATTATCTGTAACAAATTATTGCAAAAACCTGGTGAATATAAAAAAAAGCATCGAGAAATTCGAATTTCCGCGACGTTATGTTATTGCCTTTTCAATCTAATCGCGAATAATTTACTTAATGATTCCTTAAGGTGATACAACCGCGAATTGTTGATTTTGCAATAGATAATCCGTTTCGATAACGGTCCTCTCTCGGCGCAGAAAAACGTAGCATTTATTGCAATATTTCTAAGAACAACGCAATTAATGAGCATTACAAGAATGTTTCGTTGTAAATAAAGAGCGCTTGCTCTTTAACGAGGAATGCCACGGACGATATCTCGGTTAATTAATTCCGGCTCATATTTCTTCGTCTCTTGTTCAGTCAGCTCTAGTCACAATATACAGGGTGTTTCAAAATAATCATATTTTTGTATTAGAAATATTATATGTCAGAATAAGAAGAATAATGACAATAACGAGATCCTTTTCGATATCGAAAAGCGGCAAAAATTTAACTTGATTTCTTTCTGAACATTGAAAAATTTTGACAAATTTATTTTTAAGTATATATAAAAAGAAAAAGATAGATATAATTTATATTATATGTGTATAATAAATTACAGTATTATTTTTCTTATTTTTTTTAATTCAGATTTTTTTTATTTTAATAGTGCTTTTTATATTTTTGAGCTTTTCATACTGAAATTTGTAAGCTATACTTAATATAAAACAAAAGTAAAACAAAATAAAAATATAACTAGAGATGAGTACTATATGTTATATACTACATTATTTTTTTTCCATTTTTTATAATTATTCAAAAAAAATTTTGAAATATTTTTTATTATTATTCTTTCCATCTTTCCATTTAACTTGAATTAAAAAATACATATTATTGATGTGAGGACGCAAATGGATGACAGGACAATGATCACTGACTACGTTGTTTGTCATATATGTTCTTGTCACAACATCAATTGATGCTTAATGAGAATTAATTTATGGCCTGCGTGTTGTGTGTATTCTGATCTAGCGTTTCCATTCGGTTTATCAAAGGAAACGGTTAATTAATTAAGTCCTAATCATAGTCACAAGCTATTACTCTTTATTTTACTCGACACGTGTGATCTCAGCAAACATTATAGTACTATTCTTTTGTTTATCAGACTCGCGCTTATCGAAAGATTTTATGTTAGTGAGAGAGATACTTCGGTAAAAATTTATTCAAAAACTTTGCGTACGAGATATATAAAGTATAAAATATGTGCCAAATTTATTTTTAGATTTATTTTTTTTCAGATAAAAGTTGACATATATATATCGAATAATGATCAAATTAATTGATTCTTTTCTTAATCTTATATTGATCTTAATCTTTTTTTATATATGATTATGATTATATAAAATAATATGATTAACTACGATCACGTGCGTGCATGAGCATAATTACATAATATTGTTACACAATCAGCGTGAACTCATTTTCGATCATCGGTTATCTTTTTAATGACTTTATCAGTTTCCTAACATGCTATAACAATTACTGTTATATATATATATGTGTGTGTGTAGCATATTTTATTATATTTAATATCGGCATATATGATGTTTGATGCATTCGCAATCCTTTCTTTTCTTGGATAATTTTTAAGTATTTTTTAAATTAATAATTTATATAATTATAATTAAATTTTAATATTTAATTAAAAATTTGTTAGTCTCACTCTATTTAAAAAATTAACTAAACAATATTTTCTTATCCATTTATCCTTTCGTTTTGCTCAATCAATGTTTTAATCAATAAGTAACTTATCTCGATAAGTAAACTATTATTAGAAAAAAATTTATCTCTAAACATTTCTTATTTTATAAAACTATGATGTTAATCCATTAATAAATCATACAATCGACTCATCATAGTTTATGCAAAAAATTTGACATTCTACAAATTTTTACATATAAGGTACGAGTTCGAGTTATAGAATAAAATACATTTCTTGAATAAAGCAGGCGTATATAGATAAGTTGTCAAGTTTCTCGAAATCGACAGATAATAAACTTGATGACTATATCTATGATTACAGTATCGATGTTTCCAAATTATCTACTTTTATTTAAATTATTTTTTGTAAATGTACGCAAAATTAATATAATATATTATCGACTTACGCATCGTTCTATATAGATTACTCTTGCAATTCCATAAATGTAGTAAATGTGCGTATAGATTAACGCTCTTATCGCAAGCGTAAAGGACTTTTGACTTGTACGATACAATTTATCGCAAAGCTTTCAGGTGCTTAACAGTTTCATCAAACTCTTATCATAATATACAAATAGAAAAATAAACAAGAGCAACAAAAAAATTAAGTCGTACATTGCTCTCGTTATATTCCTATATCTTTTCAAAATAAAATAAAATAAAAAAATATTTTTCTCCAAATGTGCAAGTATAAATTTTGCATAATATAATAATATGCAGATTATGTCTCTAAATTTTTTTCAAACTTAAATTATCATAATTTTATATCCCATTGGAAACTACATATATAATGTGTTGCTTATTTAATCTAGCGATCCTGGTCGCGTTTTTCCGGATTCGTGGAATAGTACAGCATATGCGTTGTTCGTGATAAATCTGGACGCGATAAATATTATAAATTTAAGAATGGTCGGATGTGATGACGAATATATTACGACGAAATCCTACGCCTCTCTTGCGTGCCTTGTGCTTCTCTAAATTTTCCACTCCCCGATATCCGATCCATTCGCTCTCCATCCTCTTCTCTTTTCTCTCTCTTTCTTTCTTGTAGGCTTGGCAAGGTCGAGATACTTGGACCGGGAGAAACGAAGACGGAGACGAAATCGAATCCGATGATTCGGCACGCACGTTGTGCACGAAAATCAACGAGAAGTCTATAGTTTTTCCTTGGCATTCCTGGTTATCCATATCATTTGCGTCGCGCAAAATAAAAAGAGTACAGAAACGCAGGAAATACGCAAAATGATGAAAGAAAGCAAAATTTCTCGATTTTTTCGCTTTTATTTACGAGCTCTCTTTATAGAAGAATGAAACTTAAAGATTTGAATATTTTCAACACTCTCTTCATTTTCTTGTTTGGAAGCAAACAAAGAAGATCCTACGGAAATTTACCGTAGCCTATTTCTCTTATTTTTGCTTTATTTAGGACGGAGGGGTAAAACCTTCTTAGCAATGTGATGTAATGCATATTATACATATTGTGCGAGACTTATCAGTTTAGAATAATAATTATATCTCTCGAGTATGAGTATAGTATGTAGGACAATAGTAAATACGTGTGGAATCTTTTTTCATCGCTCAACAAAAAAATTATAAATAAAAATAATTTACGTTATAATTAAAATATTGTTTTTATTAAAAAATTAGCAGCAACTTTATTTTTCTTTCTAATTATCATTTTTTAATATTTTGGAAAGTAAGACAATTTTATATTTCTCGAGAGAATAAATCTGATAAGTATCTAATTATCTGACAGTACTTTGTAGTTATGATGCAAATAATTGTTTCCTATTATATTTCTCTCCTTATCCTTATTGTTGTTTTGTTCTTATTATTAGAGTCGTTCAAGAAAATTTATAAGGCATTAAAAATTTATTTTCAATTTCTATAATTTCATCTTTATTTTTCTTCACTTTCCTTGTTTCAAATCATATATACAAATTACATATTAATCCGTTATATCCGCAGTTAAAGAGCGATAAGAATATAGTGTAATTTCGTATAATTGCAATAAAATAACATAAAAGAAAATATATCCCCTATAATGTAATTACTGGTATATATAATTGCCAATTTTTTTTATATTTTCACCACGAAATCGTTCTACATTCAATTGCGTTTTTAAGAAAAATTATTATTTTTTTTATATCAAATATATCCTTTATCTGCTCTTATTCCTTCGAATATTAAACGAGGAAATTGTTATACGCAGTTCTACGTTAATATATCGAAGAAACACGGGGCTGCGTCCTTATTTTGGTCGCGGACGAGAGAACAAAAAAACGAGAAAGAGAGAGAAAGACAAACAAAGAAAAAAGAACCACCGATCGTGGACCACTGTGGCTATCGACTGTAACAATGGGAGTAGGGATGCGATAAAAGAAAAGGTACACCGAGACTTCCTCCACGGTGCGCGCGCGTCACGCGTATGAAGAAGCGGCCGCGCGAGCGAGAGGGATAAAGTATTGGCGCGCGCATGCGCGCTGAAGCGGGGCGTCGTGGAGGGGATAGAGGTCCGTGGCGCGTGGAAGAACGCTGGAGGGGAGGGAGGGAGGAAGGAGTGGGGGGACTCGACGCCCTCCTGGCCCGCGTCATGACACACAGCTGATCAGTCGGCTCGTGGCGCACGCAGACGCAGGGTCGCGAGCGCGTAGGTGACAGACGGCGGGTGTTTTATACGCGGGGGAAACGCGCGGAATGACGGCGGCATTGTGACGGCAAGCCGCGGGGTTCATGTACGCGCACCGGTGTTGCTACGCGTTCTCTATGCGTCTGGACGACGGCGAAGACGAGGTAGTCGGCAGCGAGCTTGGGTGGACGAGGCACCGTCATCGCGACGAGACGATCGTAATTCGGCAGCGAGGGCGGAAGAGGAAGAACGGAGGAGGTACGGTCGGGTCGATCGACGGGTCGACGGGGTCTATGACTGGAACGGCGGCGGATGATTGTGGTGGAAAAAGAGGAGGCCGGAGCAGGAAGCACGAGGACCGACGAGGAAGCTGGCCAGCTCATCGGGTTCATGACACAGGCTCACGAGCAGCAGCCTCGTCGTCGCTTGCTCGTGAGAACGCGGAGCATTGACGCGCGTCTTTCCCCGTAATCGCGGTATCTACGTATCTATATTCTATCTACTTATCTATACCATCGTGAATATTCATCCGGAGCACGCGCGCAACGAGTGATAAAGAGCAGAGAAAGGGCAAACGCGGAGAGAGAATTAATATAGAAATAGGAAGGAAGGAAACGCGACGGCTGTTGCCCTCTCTTATTTCTTTCTCTCTCTCTCTCTTTGTCTTTCTTCATCTCTAATTTTATTCCCACTCTTTTTCCCGTTCTCGTTATCTTTTCGCGTTTTGCATTTAAAACTGTCACGCTATACTATATATAATTCAACACATACGTGCATTATACATTTATATATATATCGTCCGGTAGTGGTGTGATCGGCCCCCACGTTTTTTATCTCTCCCAGCTGTGTGTATGGACGGCCGCGTGTGTCGTTTTTCGTGTGTATGGTACACGCGCGTGCGAGGCGCGGATAAAGGTCGATGACGATGCAACGGGTTCAAGATCAGGACAATGGGATCAACATCAAATTCGGCCCGGGTAAATCCCGGAAGGGCGACTACAGGCTGGTGTCTCAGGACTCCGACAACAACAAGGAACATCTTAATGGGACCAATAAACCAGGTGAGCAAAATGCCGCGAGTCATTCAATATACAGGGTGTATCTAAATAAATGTCAAAAGATTTTAGATGATTCTTTGTCGAAAATTAAGGGAGATTTCTTATATAAACATATACTTTTGTGTCCCTCCCTGAGGAATTACACGACTTTTCTAAAGAGGAAGATAAAAATTAACTTTATTTTTTGTAAATATATATTCTTTTTATTAGTGGAAAGTATCCATCAAGTTTTATTTTTTTTTATTTGTCTGAAATTTGAACAAAAAATATAATTCCTCCAGGAGAGAGATAAAAGTATATGTTTATATAAAAAATAAGAGCGACAAAATTTTAGACGATTCTTTGTCGAAAATTAAGGGAGGTTCTTACATAAACATATACTCTTATGTCCTTCTCTGAGAAGTTATACGATTTTTCTAAAGAGGAAGGTAAAAATGAATTTTTTATTTTTTGTAAATATTCATAAATATCCTTTTTATCAGTGGAAAATATCCACCAAGTTTTATTTTTTTAATTTGAGAAAAAAGTATAACTTCTCAGGGAGAGATAAGAGATAAGCATATACGTTTATATAAAAAAAAACCCTCTTAATTTTCGACAAATCTCATCTAAATTTTTTCATACTTATTTAGAAACACGTTGTATACATACATACCTTCGGGAAGAAAAAAAGGAAATCCCGTTGTCTGCCTTCGTGCGATACAGGTCTTCTTTTCCCTAAAAAATCAGAAATTTTAGAATTTCCAATATTTATGTATAAAGCTTTGTGAATTCGATACCGAATCTTTGAAAGTCAATTTCTTTTGTTTACAATTTTTCACGTATAAATACGAAGGAAATTGTTAAATACACAAAAATTATATATACGAGTCTGTTATTTATGTCAAATAGAAATTTCTTTTTGTAAGAGAAAAAACTTAATATATGCTAACATGCTAGTGTGTTATTGCAAGTGATGTCACTGATACATACAATTATTAATGACGGAGACATTTGCTCTCTCGCTCTCGCTATGCGTTGTTTCGAGAACCTTTCTTATCCTCTTTTATCTTCAGAATGTGTAACAATTTTTATTAAACCCAGCTGGAATTACTATGATAACCCCAGTATGGTTTGCAAAACATATTGTTCTTCCGCTTATGATTTGTATGTTTTGTCTTCCAATTTTCCTAGATAAAATATACACAATAAAATGATAAATTAATGATAGGTATTATATTTTCTCTTGCTTTTCTGTATGTATTTAACAGGAAATATCTCTCACGGTTGACGATAAAAAATATGATACAGAAAAAAATTGAAGGTCGCAAAACCAAAGTCCAACTTTTTATGATGCTAATTTTTCCGCAACAATGCATCTGCGAAATACAATTACATTTTTAAATGTAAGACTGGAATTTTATATAAAATAATTTTTTATTCGTATAAAGTATCAAAGTATAAGTGAATACTTCATATACTTTATATTCCTTAATAATTTTTAATAAAAATGTAAAACTTTTTCATTTTTTGCTGGAAAATGATGAAAAGAATCTGTCGAGAGAGATATTCTTTATTAAAACTGTTAGACAAAAATCTACTTCTATAAATACAAATATAAAAATAGTATAGGAGTGGAGAATGCACTTATATAATATTATACATATACATATATGTACAATATAGAATAGAAATATATTTGTAAAAATTGAATTTCAAATATTTTCAATTTTCAAGAAAATATATACAATATTCGAAAATTTTAATCCGACAATAATAGCAAGAGTTTCTATTTTAAGAGTCGTACTTATTAAAATTTTCCTATCTTTGAGAAAGAATAATTAATGAGTTAAAACTGATTAAAAATAAAAAGCATTTTTGAAATCAGCGAAAGAAAAATAGGGGAAATATACTCATTACATTTAAAATATCAAAAATGTTGGTAAACGATACATAATGCTCGACATGCGGTTCATATATCTTTATTATTCCATTTCTTATCACAACACGACTGTATGATCAACATTATCTTCTCTCACATCGTTTCGTATATTGTCATTATTTCTTATTCCCTTGCTTTTGTAATTTACACTATATTTATTTATACATTTTTTTCCCATCAATGTTTCCATTCTTTTTTATCGTTTTCTACGTTCCATCTTTTATTCGGTATCGTAGGCAATTATTATAGATGGAATTTTTATAAATAGAAAGGTTAAATAAAAAATTGGCTTATGAGCCAAGAAGCAAAGTGAGTAAATGTAAAACTGACACATAAACGATTAAAACGTGTTACGCTTGCCAACATTTGATATCCGGTTGCAAAATTGTTCAGCCTCGTTAATTTAGTTACAATATTCATTCATAAGTCAGTATATTAGAAACGCACGATTTATTATTTGGAACAATTTTTTTAGATAGAGAAATAAATGAAAGCATTAAAAAAGTATAAAAGAAAGTACAAATTTGCAACAATATTAAATTGCTTTATAAAAATTTGGAATTTTTCTCTTTTTTTATCTGTATGTATTTTCTTCTATTTTTTCTCAACATATTTAGCATTTTACATTTTTGATAAATAATAGAAGAAATAGTTTTAAAAAATTTTATAATAAATTAGGTACGGAGAACATTGTTTTTTTGTTTTGAACATTATTATGCTAATATTTTACCAGAAAAAAATTTATATTAACATAACAAATGTTTATTTTCGCTACAAAACAACATACCTATTTGTAAAATAAAAATTTTTTAGTATACTTTAATACAGAATCAAGGCAATTTTTTTTATAGAAAAGAAAAAAAGATTATGTCAAAAGATAAAAAATATTGTTTGATAAAAATTCGATTATATCAATCGGATTCCTGTCGATCTCTTAATTTACATTCATTGTTCGAATGTCTACATAAAAGCAAATTAGAATGCATATCACAACGGAAACGACTTCCGCATGAGATGGCCAATATTGGGATTACAATTGCATACTGATGAATGTCGTTTTCTTTGTCGGTGACGGGAGAAATTGAAACTTTTTCCTTTGCTCAACACATACAAGAGAGATATCTACTTTGTCCTTCCTTCCCCTAATATGTACGTGAACCAGCGACTTTTATATTCATTATACGATTCTATTATTTGCACGATATGTTATAATTATTTCATGAAATTATTTAAATAAAATTTCATTTAATGAACACTTGGGATGTGCTAATCATTTTTTTAAATAGTCAAAATTTTTAAATTTTTTTATCACTCTGTATATAAGTAGAATAATTATCCGCTCCGTGCAGTCGTTTAATTTTTAACAAAACAAAATTGTTATATCTTCTCTGTAAACATGTTTTGCGCACACATAATTTTTTAGGAAATCTTTAAAAAAATAAAATACATTGCGAAACAGTTTGTGTACCTAATATTTTCACTATTATTTGGTACATTTATAAAATTATATATAAAATTAAATAAAATATTATTTATAAAAAATTATGTTTTCTAAATCTGTTTACTTGAATATCCTTTTTTACGTTTTGAGCAAATTAATTTTATCTAAAGACATGTATCTGAAGACACTTCAAGCATCGAAAATAATATATTATTATTGTCTCTAGATCCAAAGTCTCCCCTATCGCGTTTATGATTCATTAGCATACCAATTTCCATCTGATTATCATTATGATTAATCTATCTAATTATCAGTAATGAAGAAAATAAAAGGAACACGTTTCTCTTGTAAAGTATACATTGAAAGAATTATTTACTGTTTGCCTAATTATTGTTGACTCAGGCTTTTCGCGAATTGATTACACAAGATTAAAAAAACCACATTGTTTAAACCACACTGTCTTTCCTGTATTTCGTTTGTCAAATTATATGTAATTTTGCTGCATAATGAAATACCAGGAACAGAAAGAAATTGAGAACTTTTGTTCTTCTTTTCCATCTCATTCTGCTTTATCTGTTTAAAATAAATTCATAAAAATCGATTTTTTCTAAATCAGAGTTTTTAAATAAAAAAATAATGATAGCATGACAGGCACTTTTCGTCGAGTAATTTAAATGCTCCCAAGAAAGATTAGACGTTCTTTTCCAATATAATAATACTAAAAAATATATTACAGTGTCTATACATATTGATTATAGCAAGTGAGAGGATCAGCTATTTAGTTTTTTTAATAAAAAATAAATCTAACATCAAATTTAAAGAAATATATAATGAGAAGAACGATGTTATTCTGTATATATAATTATATATACAGAGTGTCCCAGATTTACCGTATCACACGTTAATGGGAGATTCCTGAGGCAATTTGGAGACGATTTTTCCTCAGCGAAAATGTTCAGGCACCAATAATTTTCGAGTTATAAACTATTGAAAATAAAAGCTTTTTTGTAAAAATTTTTTTGGTTAATTTCAGTTAAAGTTTACTTTAATAGAATTTTAATTTAAGGCTTAGTTACAAAGATACACGATTTCAAAAATTGGGAATATTAAAAAAATGATTATCTTTCTCGACATTTTTGCTGAGGAAAAATCGTCTCCAAATCGCCTCAGGAATCTCATTAACGTATGATACGGTAATTTTGGAACACCCTGTATAAGTGACATAAGAAATTCTCGAAAAGAATTAATAAAAAAATTTTAAAACATACATATCTTTATTCTTCTTGTAGAGAAACATGTAAAGGTAGTGGAAGAATTGATTCCACCAGACGGAGGCTGGGGATGGCTGGTACTTCTGGCCTCTGTCATGGTTAATCTTCTCATCCCTGGCACTATCAAGTCCTTCGGAGTATTGTTCGTCGAATTCCTGGATGTATTTGACGCCTCACCAGCAGCAGCTGCATGGATACCATCGCTCTGTTATTTTCTATATAGTTCACTAGGTAAGAACCGGGTCGTTATCTACATATATTGTATATTACATCGATACAATTTTTGGGAACGTGCCCGTGTAGGCTTTTAGACGTCTTTTCTAAATGTCGGATTCTCTGCAGAGAATTTTTTTTTCACTTTTACTATATTTTTTTCGTTTACATAATTCATGGTTAAATATTTAGATATAGTCTCCTACGATTTACTGTTAGTCGTTTGGCTTTTAAAATTTTTAAACTCCATATCGTGTATTCTTCCATTAATTCGAGATATTATAATTAAATGATACCTAATTATATAAAAGAAACTAAGGCCATCGAGAAAATATATCATACTAATTCATACATTACGTCATAATGCAAATATACGGATTTTATATTGACATTTCGATAAAGATAGTTGGAAGTTCACGATAGTATGGAGACTTCGAAATGGAAAGATTTGCTTGCGTTTATTGTTTACATGCAGTTTTTCTTCGTATATTATGAATCATGTCAATGTATTCTAGCAAACAAATTAAGAATCACGAGATACGAATAAACAGATTGTTTAGGCGTATTACGTTTGACATGTGAATCTGAATCATCGATTTATGTATTTTTCAAGAATGAGAAACCGCTAAAATCATGATAAAATTCAGTCAAAATTCAGAGAATTGGAAATATTTGCACGAATAAAAATTCTAATCTATAAGCGAACATGGTTTTTTAATTCGACGTTATTTTATCTTTCCAGGCCCACTCTCTAGTGTACTTTCGGTTAAGTATTCCTATCGTACGGTAACTCTAATAGGCGGGACATTCGCCGCGGTGGGGATGATGGTGAGCTATTTCGCGAACTCTGTGGCCTTTCTATGCGTAAGGTAATTTTTTTCTTCTTTTTAAAGTAGAATCATACTAAAGATCATTATATCTTGCGTAACAAATTCCAAGAAGCAATCAGTATGACATTTTATTAAAAAAAAAAAATAAAAAGAAATAAAAAAATAAAGAAATACAGAATTTTCTTACAGTTATACATGAAAGAAAAATTTACAAAATATAATTAAATATTTCAAGTGAATATTCAAGTAAATTATTATTACGCTTTTGATATTTCATATATATATATAAATATATATATATATATATATATATATATATATATATATATATGTGAAATATTTGAATATATAAGAAAAACCAAAATTAATTTTTATATCATAATTAAATTAATTATTGTCGCTAAAGCTTTTTCATAAGAATTACATATGAAAACTTTTTAAAATTAACTGCAGAAAAAAATGACAAAGATAAAATGCAAGTTCTATTAAGAGTGAATCTATTAATAAAGATGTGCGACGACATAAAAGAATTGTTTAAATTTATTAAATATGCAAAAAAGAGAGTTTGTAAAACTCAATATATATTTTTTTCAATTTTTTAGTTTAATTCATAAAATGTGTAGATATATTTTATATATCGTTATATATTTTCTCTCGAATATATCCCGAATATATTTATTGCGTAGCCATATACTATATTATGTAATGGTTGAATCTTTCTTATATAATTCTCTGTTTTTTTAGTTATGGTGTACTGGTAGGTACGGGAGCAGGATTAGCGTTTCCTCCGACTGTATATATCGTGACGTCGTATTTTGTACGGCTACGAGGACTTGCCAACGGACTTTGCATATCCGGCAGTGCGTTGGGCTCAATATTTCTTCCGCCCGTTTTGGGTTTTCTTCTACGAGAGTATGGTTATAGGTGAGCTTCTTCATTCATCATTATTTACTTGATCCATTCATATAAAATATATGTAAGATAAATGTTACGGAAATAAAATTGTAAGTGTAACATCATGTGCTCACAATTTTTATATAATAATTGTTATATCGTTGATATTTTGACGAAGATAAAACCAAATTGTCATTATCTGTGAAAATATTATCGGATTATAGATAATACAATTGATGATACATTTCCCTTGATTTAATCTTCGCAGAGGTGCAGTATTAATAATGGGTGCCGTCACGTTAAATGTCTGGGCGAGCGCGCTTCTGTATCATCCGGTGGAATGGCATCTGATACCAGCTCGGCCTCTAGATGACAATGATGAGTGCGATAATAAAGAAATCGTTACCAGTAACAGTCCGGAACAAACGACCGAGAAGAACAATAGTCAACTGGTATCGTCGAACAATTCTACCAGCGAGAAGGCCGCGCCGATCGTACCGAAGAGCGCGTCAAGCGTTGCCCTAGAATATTACAAGAATACACCGGTGCAGAGCCGCACGCGAAAGATCAGCATGCCTACCGGACGCGAGATCAGCGGTCAAATGCACAGCACGCCGACATTGCACGCCGTACCGGAACGCGGCGGTGCCGTGATGGACTCTGGAAAGTACTCCAGGACATCCGCGAGGTCACCGTTGAATTCGCCCAGCGCGTCGTCCTTCAATTACGTCAGCACACCGTACCACGGTAGCACTTTATCGGTCCTGCATCCGGAACGCGCGTCTACGTTGACGCTGAACGCCATTTCCAGCACATTCGCTAGGAAATCGATGACAACCAGCGGGGAGCAGAAGGGCGAGAAAGATGAAAAAAGCCAGCAGAACAAGTTCTTCGATGTCAGCCTGCTCAAGGATCCCATCTATCTCGTCATTCTCATTTCCAACTCCACCAATGCCATCAGCTATACCAATTTCGTTATTCTGCTGCCGGCTTACGCCATTTCCCTGGGTTTCGACAACTGGGACGCGTCGTTGCTACTGTCGATCGTTTCTATGCTCGACCTGGTGGGCCGTATCGGCGGTTCTGCCCTTTCCGACATCCAGATCATGCCTAAGCATTGGTACTTTGTTGGCGGTCTGCTCGCTTCTGGAATTTCCTTGGCCATTCTACCCACCGCTAACATGTACGTCATGCTGTCCGTTTACTGCGCCTTCTTCGGTCTCGCGTCCGGCATCTACGTCGGCATCACCGCCGTTATCATGGCCGACATGCTGGGCACGGAGAAGCTCACCTCGTCTTATGGTATCTCGTTGTTCGTCAACGGTGTCATTCAGTTGGTAGGGCCACCCATTTGCGGCATAGTATACGAGCAGATCGGCAGCTACGGACCGATCTTCAGTATACTTGGCATTATTCTGGTGTTCGGCGCGTCTCTTTGGGGCTTTGTGCCATTCATCCGGCGGAGACAGGCAGCGTTGGAGAAATCCGCCAAAATAGATAAAGTATAGTAGACCAAATAAACAAAGTAAAAGTATGAGTTTGTCCATAATTAGTATTGGACAACAATTTTCATGGTTTTACGTTTTGAAATGCGAATTTTAGGATAGTATATTATATATGTAAGAAACTAGTTTCATTTTCAAGTTTCAAAATGTAAAATTATGAAAAAGCAATTATAAATAAATGAGTCGCGAGATATGACTCGGTACTTCGTAAAGGCACACATGAGCTTAATTGCGCGAGGTAATTGCTTAAAAGTGGCCACGTATGCACGTATGTATGTATGTAAGAAAAAGAGAGATAGAAAGAAAAAAGTGAAAACGTGGCCGAATATTAAACTGTGATGTTAGCGTGAATGTCATGTATCGAAACTACACCGGCGAAGTTTTCGGACCGAGCAAAGCTATGAAATTTGAGCGGTTCGCTTAGTACGATAATTTTTCGCACAAATTGTCTACGATGATGATTGTATGACTGTCGAATAATTATTAACTATAATTAGTAATTACAATTGATCGCCAAATAGAACGGTAAATGTGGGAAAATCTTATCGTGTACTAAACATAAGAAACAAAATCTAAGTTATCATCATAATATCAAAACACGGAACAATCGTATGAAAATATAATAAAATACATTTATATTTATACTTACAATAAAATGTACTTATAAAATATTAAGTACTTAAAAATACTGAGAAGTATTTAAAATGATAAAATTGTAAGAAATTCAAAATAATTTCTTTATATTTTGAATAAAATTAATATCTTTAGAATATTAATATCTTTAGAAATCTTTAGATTTGTGTGAGAAATATACACACATGCAATGCTCCGTTTTAAATTTCAGAACTTAAGAACCCGAAAAGTTTCAATTAGCAAATTATAAATTTTACTCTGTGGCAGCGATATTAGATTTCCGATTTGATCACATTTACCGTCAAGTATACGCTTTTGTATTCGGTGATGAGGTGACAATGCAGCCTCATGCATCGTGTAGTCCATTTTTGACTATAAAGCGTATTATTTAGGAAAACAATTTTCGAGAAAAAAACTTTTCAGAAACGCTTCCTTTCTCAGAAGCAGAAATAAAGAATATATCTCTTGCCTTATAATCGAAGAAAGGAAAATATCCACTCTCTGAAAGTAAAAATTTTGTATCAGCACGAAAAATATAATAATTTAATTTTACTTGAATATTTAGAGAAAAAAGCAGCGATCACGTTATTGGTACTAGTATCTATCGCTGGAATAAAAATACGATGACACACATAATGTAGCATGTACCAATTTCGTTTCTCTAAACAGATCTAGTAGTAAAGTAAATTGGCACACAATTGTAGATATAATGTCCATTTCTAAAGATTTGATCGCATATGTAATGCGATCTTATTGCTAGAATGACTGGAAGTGGATTCTATATATGAGAATTATTAATTAAATATTCTGATATAGGCTGCCATTCTGTTTCTAAATTGAGAATGAATTAATGAAAAGGATCCATAACAAGTTATAAGACTTGTGGCCGTATAAGCAGAATATATCCGGCGAAACCGTATATCTTTATTCATTCTTATGATCAAATACCGTCTTGTGTCAAAAAAGTTTCGATCTTACGAGTTTTTTTAATTATTAAAAAAACCAATTCGATCGATGCACTTTTCAAATTTTTTCGAAATCCGCCGGAAATAATGCCTTACGAATAGGTCATAAGTAGTTTGTAAGTAATATATATATATATATATACGTATATATATACACACATATATTATGTTTATAACTATATACAAATACATAAAACAAAAACAAAAAATACTCTAAAATAATATATCAACAATTTTCCTATTTTAAGTCTTTATAAATTTAAAGCTAATTGTTTAAGCTTCTTTCTTTATTCATATTATAACTTATGCATATATTTTTTTGTTTACTTTATAAATAAAAGCATCATCTTTTAGAAATTAATTCAAATTAAAAAAATTAATTCAAATTATAATATAAGACATAGAGAAAATAAATGGCTCATTGAATGACAAATAATGGTAGAAGCATAGAATAACTAGCTTTGCAACCTAATATATGTTTTAAAATGTTTTAAAATAAGGAAATACAGGTATACATATTATGCTCTGTATTTCCACGACAAATCTCCGAATTAAACATTCAGAAATTATTAAGAGAACAGATATTAATGTAAATTACATTTTATCAATATACATACTTCATATATCTGCTTTCCCAGACTATAACTATGATCTAAGTGAAAACAGTTACTTTTCTTTTGAGATAGTTTGGGCAGTTGGCGGAGCTTCCCTGAATTTAGGGAACTGTTCCCACGGAGCAGCTAATTCGAATTTACGGAATTCTTGGGCCAATTCCAATGGCTCAATAACTACCCTTTTATGCTCGTCATCATAGCGAACCTAAAACAAATTATTTATATGTGTATATTAGAAAAAAATTATATATTAAAAAAAATTAGAATACTGTAAAATTTAATATTTAATGTAACTTTAGTTAGATTATAAATAAGTCTAATTTTAATAGAATAGAAATTATTGCAAACAATTTTGTTGATAAATTTGTTTGATACTATATTAAAATTAGTTAGTATATTGATATTAATGGAATAATCACCTCAACATATCCACTGAGTGGAAAATCTTTTCTTAGTGGATGCCCTTCAAAGCCGTAGTCTGTAAGAATTCTGCGAAGATCCGGATGATTTGAGAAAAATACTCCAAACATATCCCATACTTCACGTTCGTACCAATCAGCAGCTTTAAACACACTAAAGATGGAGTCAACAGGTGTCAACTCGTCAGTATACGTTTTTATTCTAATACGCGAATTGTATCGCAACGATAACAGGTTGTAAACAAGCTGTAATAATAAATGGATGCAAAGTTCTGTTTTTATGTAAAGTTGCATGATACCAATTTACATCACATTTTTATATTATATGTTTATATATTTTGTAAAGTATATAACTCACCTCAAATCTGTACTGCCTACTAGGTACATCCAGAGCAGTGATATCTGACAGATTAACAAACTGTGTATTATGATGATCTTTCAAAAATGTACATACAGGAATAATGCCTTCAGGAGCAATGAGTAACTCTAGTTCATCACCAGCAGTTAACTGTACTTGTTGTACATACTTTGGCAAGCAGTCAGAGATATAGCGACCAAAGTTTATCAAACGAGTGACATCGACATGACTGGGTTTACGTACCGTGGCTATAAAAAAAGAAATATAAGATCAGACAATGTGCTGTACATTGAGTACTTACATTAAGCATATGTAGAATATTTCAAAATTATTTCTTCCACTGATAGAAATTGGAGCAGATACTGATAACAATTTCAGACATCTTAAATAAATTATAATATAATGTTTTCTCAAGATTTACTTAAGGATAATCAAATGACATATTGAATATAAATTATACATACGACGAGTCTCGATTTTTTCAGTATTATCGCTGGCTGTCGTGGTGTTGCATCGTATCGATGATGGAAAAACGGGATAACCTATCGAACGAACGCACATATTATTACATAATTCGGTGAGAAATTTCAATCGTACGATATATTTTATTACATTTCGGTGTAGCAGCCGGCAAACTTCGCGACAGCTTCCAACAGTTCCTCAATATTGATGTCATCTTTTCACAAAATATTCAAAATATAACTTCAAGCAAAGTTAACAGCGAAACATCATAGTTCCAACATTTTATGACAGGGATACAAACTTTGGATCCGATAGTCAATCTAGTAATATTTGATCAACCAATCAGGATATCCCATTTCTAGGGACAGAAACATTTTCATTAGTTTCTAAGGAAACTTTACAGACAAGACGTTGGTTGTCAGAGACAAAAAATCAACGTTTCGAAGTATTTGCAAAGTGGAGTATAATTTTCGTTTAATTACAATATTATCATTTATATATTATAAGATCAATATTATTATTCATATATTATAAGTTCAATATGATTATTTATATATATAAAGGAATATTCTCTTACACACAAGAAAATTATGAATTGCAGATAGTTTTAATTTCTAAATTCTTTCAAAAATGTGTTGCTGTAATTATTGTTAGCTGGATTGGACAGCTTTGAAAATACTATGCCGTTCCAAAGCTTGTAATTCGACGAGAATGGTAGCTATAGTATGTCTCAGTTGGTGAAACTTTGCCAAAGACAATTCGAATATTACACATTCACCTGTGTTGAAAATCCATTCCATCACAATATTTGGCTCTAGCACTCTGTTTATTATACTAGAATTGGACAATAATATATTAGAATATGATCTTTATATATATGTAATATATATATAAAATTGTAATGTGTATATATATATATATATATATATATATATATATGTATGTATATATAATATACGTATATTTATATATATATATATATATATATATATATATATATATATATATAAAATACACATATAACTGCATATATATATATATATATAAAATTATATTACTTAACACAATAAACATTTGTTTTAAGTGCGGACTTACTTGGAGGAGATTGTAATATCTACACGCCATCTGCAAGAGATCAATTGTGGGTTAAACTTTGTACTTTGAATTAAACCTGCTAATAGATCTGGTCGCTTTGGACCATAAATCACTGAGGATAAATCTTCTATACAATCTGGAGTCAATCTGTAATTGATGATTCATAAAGGTCAGCTGAGAAGTAAATTTGCCAATTGTCATGTAGAGAAATAATTTAAGAACAGCTCTTAATAATAGCTTAGAAATAATTTGAGAATAAGCTTTTAGTAATTATAGTTTGCTTACTTTAATTCCTCCAAACATTGCTTGAATTCTGCAGGCTTCATATCATGGCATTGTAAACGTAGATGGGTTTTCAAAATTGTGAGAATAGCAGCATAGAATTCATCCACAAGCTCCTCAGATATGTTATATTTCTTACTTATTCGCTCTAGTACACCTTCTTCTATGTGTTCCAATTCTATCGCTTTCACTGCAACTGTAATTTTTATATAATTGATATGTGTATGCGATGTTATTGTATACGTTAACTGTATGCTATGCTTATTGTAAATAATTTTGCAAGTTTCAAGCAGAGTAGATGTAATTTATCAGTTAATATTGTTGTTAATTTAATTTATATATTATGTATTCTAAGCTTACGTTGTATTAATGGACGCGCGAATGTCTTTTTAATTCTGCAAGATGCTTGGTTTTATTCTCTAAAACGTTTAAGAGCTGCGTTTGAAAGGAAACTGTCATTTTTATCGTAATGACGTTCAAGTAATTTGACAGATGACAGATCTCTTGATTGTAATTTTAACTTACCCTAACCTGACCGCATTTTCTAGTATTGCCATCTATCGAGAAGTAAAAATTATTATTTGAATCACGCGCTGCTTTTTCGATAGTGCATTAATCGATGACGTAACTATAATCGATATATCGTTGTAAATGGATATTTTCTGATATATTAGCGACTCACTTCATTCAATTCTAAACTCCGACTGATTTAATCGACGTCTGATATTTATTAGGTAAATATTAATGATTTTTAATCAATTTGACGACAATTTTATACGCATATTTAATCGTATTTAAACGAGGAATGGCACAACTGAAGATTGTTGGTAATTGTTGGTTTATTAGGCAATTTTAATAAGTGTAGATCGAAGACGACTCGGGCATAATTAAGAACGCTAATAGTATTAATTGTTTCTGTGTTTCTATAATCCAAATGGCTAATAGTGTCAACATTCTTTTATTATTCTCGAAATCTTATTGTTAATCACGAAAATTAGTATATATAAAGAGTAAAAATAGCATAAAATCTTAGCTATAAATATTTATTGTTACCAAATTCGAAGAATGCTTAATTAACATTAAATGTGTTATTTATAACGTAAATATATAATTTAATTGTGATTGCTATTAAATATTATTATCGATATAACAGAGTGCTACACAAATATATAAAGGTGAAGTGTAACTTGTAACACTGACAAAAACATTCATATCTTTTACGATATTGAGTTATTCTCATTTATATGTAAACTCTAACATTTTTTTAGGTTCAATACAAGATAAGAAGATTCAAATAAATTTTGTAATATACTTGGTTGGAGCAATACCAAGCAGTAGACCGTGTGGCCTAATGGATAAGGCGTCGGACTTCGGATCCGAAGATTGCAGGTTCGAGTCCTGTCACGGTCGTGAGGATCATTATTTTTGTTTCCTTGATATGTGAAATGTATCAGGTAAACTATGCTACAAGTTTTATAAACATATAATATATACGTGCTCTTTCCTCAACCAAATTATTTCATTTTTTATCGTATTTTTTAATGCCTTCATAAATCTGGTAGAGATCAAGAAGAGTTTATAATGTGCAAGAATTAAAAAAAAAAACAAATATTAATACTAAAATTTAATGAATATACAAATTTTCTTTTACTGCAAAATTTATTATCTTAATTTTGAAATAAAAATGTTGTATATTTTATTAGAATTTTTCTATTATTAAATTGTTGCTATAAATTATATTTATTATATAGTTTATATTATGTACATATTTTGTTCTAACATAATTTCTCTTTATTTTTGATGGTGTGTGTGTGTGTGTGTGTGTGTGTGTGTGTGTGAGAGAGAGAGATTTTGCATCTACGTATCTTTTATTTTTCATGAGTGATATCTCGAGACATTTCTTTGTATAATGATAAGTGATATAGCGAATTACATGTGTGTGTGCATGGGTGTCTGTTCATGTAGAATGATAGAGAATATATTCACATAATATGCATATATACTGTGTGACATTATCAAAAATATTATTCATTACGCTTAAGCATTTTTAATTAAAATTTCCTATATATAATATATAATGTCATCAATTCAACATCTATTTAATTTTATTATATGAAATTATCAATTTATAATTTTTATTTTATAAAAGCGCAGCATTTATTGATATAAATTTAATAGCTTTTCACCTTTCTGTTATCGAGAAGAAAATAAAATTTAAAGTTAATAATTTCTTAATGAAAAAGTTTCCAATCTTTAAATTATAATTTTCTTTTTATGATGCAAGATGCTGAGTATAATTGAATGTTATATTAAAATTTTATGAAAACAATTTATATAATGGTGTTGTAATGAATTAAATATAATTAAATATGATATAGGATTTTGTGACAAAGTTATTAATAAATGTGTAGTGACTCTTTTTATAATATTTTACTGTTAAAAATTTCAAATTAATAATACTGATCATGATCTACAGGTATAATCTGTTCGTGGGAAAGCTAAAGCAAGAACCTTCGATAGCTCAGTTGGTAGAGCGGTGGACTGTAGTTGGCTTGATTACACGGAGACATCCATAGGTCGCTGGTTCAAATCCGGCTCGAAGGAAGTATTTTTTTATACATTTTTTCAATTTTATGCGAACAAATTGTATTTTTCAAATTTTTTAATATAATCTGTGTTTAAAATTATAATATTCTTTTAAGAATTAAGATTATTAATTTTCTTTTAAGAGATCTAATGTATATTTTATTTGCAAACTAATATTTTTATTTATATAAAAAAGAGATATATATATATATATATATATATATATATATATATATATATATAATATGTATGTATATATTTAATTACTCTTATTAATTTACTATACGATTCTATATAAAATATTCTATATAAAATTTACTTTTTTCATAAATATAAAATAAATTTTAAACATACTTAAATAATAAAATTATTATATTTTTAGATTAATGTAGTTTCCTTATTTGTATCTAATTAAATTAATTTTCTGTTTATTATGTTATGTTATAATAAACATGTCATATTATACTCATAGTTAGTTAAAATTTACAAAATACTTTTTGTGCAGATAACCAGACGAGCAAACAGGGATGAGAAACTAAAAATAGTCTTCTATTCATCATAGTTGTATGAAGAGCGGTTTCACGGTGTACCATATATGTTATTGACTCTACACTAAAGTAAGGAATATTTTATATCTCTTATATTTTCAAATCAAATTAAAATATTATCACAAATACAGTTTAAATATAATATTATAACACATTTAAAATATAATAAGGAGAAATCTAGTTTATTATTTATATTTTTACTATTTATACATATATGTATAATTTATTTATATACTTTTTTACATTTTCTGTATCTAAAATAAGAAAGATATTTAGAAAAAAAGATATCTAGAAGAAAATATGATACATACATACATATATATGTAACTAAAAGATATATATTATTACTTGTCATTGAGAAGACTTTCTCTTATCTATAAAGAATACATCGAAGAATATATTCAAAAATTTAAACTTTATTTGTTGTAATAAAAATTGAAGGAACATGAGAGGAGGAAAAAAATTACCTTTCATGTTTCGATACAAAAGCATTATTGATAGCTTGTTTGAAATTGTAAGCAGTGCCGAGGATCTCTCTCTAAATCTCTTGGCACATTTTTGGCATGTCATTCATTGATCCTGCGTTATTTGACGCTTATCCATTTATCTATTTCAGGGATCGAAACCTTGCTAGGGCGCGCCGCTCCTTTTTGTCTAATCAGAGCAAAGTGAATTAGCCCTAACATGAGACCGCGCCTAAATGTGTTACTCGTGTTTCGCGCTTTTAAATCCTTCCTCAGGTAAGAGTTTGACCTAGTACTAAATATTTTGAAGATAACAAGTCGATATAAAGCGTTTAATGTATCGCATCTCCTCTTGTTGTACGAATAGAATTATCAGTGAAACGCATCTTATTACGTAATCATTATTTTTTTGCTTCCACAATTCTCAATATTCTGACAAAATTAATTTTCGAAAATTACACAACTAATTTGAGTTATTTCGAACAATTTAACTTTATAAAACTTTAATATTTAATTTATAATCCTACACAATATAATAAATACTTTTTTAATATTATTTTATTTAATTAAAAAAAAGATTTCTAACTAGAGATTTTTTGAACAAGTGTTATAAGAGATTCTAATAAATTACAAAGTTACAAGACTCTCACAAATAAACGTAATTTTATACGAGTTCTCCTTCTATAAATTGTAAAAATCTCGATTTACATTTTTCTCGATATTACATTTTTCTGAAAGCTGAGAACATCTTTAGTAAAATAAAACCAAATTGAAGAATTAATTTTATTATATCTTTTTAACCTTTCTGTTATGTCAAGGGAATAATGCAATTACCCCATAGAGCAGAGAATATTGATCCTATGTTTAGAATATATGTTTATATATATATATATATATATATATATATATATATATATATAAAAGATTAATTTATTACATTTTATTATTGTGAAAATTACTAAACTTTTGCTGATTTTGTCTATCTGTACAATTATGTTTAATAAAAAAAATACAGTTAAAGGATCGCTTATAGGAGAAGGGTTAATAATCGAGAGATACAAGCCGTATGTAACCCCTGTAAATGGGGATTTCTCTCGTATGGAGGACATTGCGTCTGCGTTGATCGCGACACGAGTAACAGAGCTTGATAGAGAAAGGGTGGCAACACGTGCTGCCATCCTCCTGACGTCCGGCGTTGGGGCTAACGTGGGGGATGGAAACGCGTCAACGATACGTCGCAGAGGGGTTCAACGAAGGCGGTAGCGCTGTAACCAGTGACGTACTTACAAAGATCTCATCATGCGAGATCAATTAGGGTAATTGTGACACGGAATTAAACGTGGCGCCCGAGTATTTTTCAACTGTAAAACCAATAATCCTTATCGAGTTGTGCCATGATGCAATTAACATTATAAATATTATTAAATATCGATTAACATTGTTATATTACTTTGCTTTTTTTTTTTTAATTATATTTTACTGTAACGGATACAAGCGTTTTGTATTAAGAGGATATCAAGATTAGAGTTTTTTACAAGTATGTATATATACATACATATAATTCATTTTCCAGATAGATTATTATTATCTATATATCATAATTTTTGCTTTGAATATAATCTTTTTTAAATTATGTTATATATAATAACATTTTCTTAACATCTTTTTTGATTATTTTTCTTTATTTAGCATTTTTGAAATGTATTTACACAATTTTTTTGATTCGCTCTATTATTTCTGTCTTTCATAATTATCAATATCTAATTGATACAAAGAATTGTTTTTGTAACAATACACAAAAATATTTGGAGAGAAAAGCAAAAATGTAATATAAAGACAAAAAGTGAGACGACTATTTTTAGAAGAATAAAAATATGTAATGTCTTTTAATCCTCGTTCAATTGTAATTTAATCGTTTTAATTATAATTAATGATTTTATCTATTTTTTAATCTTCTACCTATACAAAGGGTTTAATTTTAATTTAGGTTTGTTTAGACTAAAAATTCATAACTGAGCTAATTATATTACGTGAAATGCATTTTTTTCAGAGTATCAAAATTAAATCGATTATTTAATTAATATCAATAATTTCATCTACTTTTTATACGTATCATATATTATCTTCTATACCTGTACAAAAAGAGTTTAATTTAGAATTATATTTGTTCAGACTAAAAATTCATAACACTGAGTTAATATATACTTATGTTAAGTAAACTGAAAATTTGCTCTCTTTCCAGAGATTATCAAAACTATCGATACTTCGATATAATATCGCGGACGGCACAATTAGCAGACTCTGACGCGCAATCGCGGCGCGTCATCGGACGATGCGCCTGTGCGAGCCAAGGACGACAGAGGTAGAGGGCGAGGACGAGGACGTGGCCGACGTGGTGCGAAGGTGAGGAAGAAGGGAGCAACGTCGTCGTCGTCGTCGTCGCCGTCGTCGTCGTCGTCGTCGTCGTCGTCGTCGTCGTCGTCGCTCGAACCGCAGCGGTATAGGAACGACGGAATCGAGGGGTTGAGCGCTTCGTGACGAGTGGGGGTGGGAAAGGGGTGGGAGTGGGGGAAGGGGTGTCGCGCGAAGGGCCGTGAACGCGGCGTCGAGCGCCTTCTCGCGCAGTCTGACGCCGGCGGCCGCGACGGAAACACGTGCGCGCGTTGCGTCACGTTGGTCTCTCCGGGGTCCCTGAGTGAGCGCAGTCGCGAAAATTCACGAAGGGGGCGGCACGAGAGGTCACGAGAGAGGAAGAGAGAAGTCGTCGGCGCGATCGGGTCGTATCGCGAGAATCTGCGATACGTCAAGGCGGAGGATTCTCGCTGAGTTTTTTCGCGGGTGAATTTTTGTGACTTGAAGTTCGCGGCGAATCATCGCGAAGGAGACGCGAGAGGACTCCGCGGATTCTCCCCGACATTCGCGCTCGGGCGCGAGAGTGAGTGATAAAAGAGGGCTGAATTATCGCGCTCCGATGCCACCCTGGCGACGAGGATGAGCGTCCACGTCGAGCGGCTGTCGCGCAGGATAAGCAGGTAATTAAGAGCGTTTTTTTTTTTTTTTCTCGCGGTTTTTTACTCTCCGCGTCACACCTCGTGGAGACACCCCGACTCCACGGACGATGATGGTCGCCGGCGATCAACCCTTTCTCTCAACCCCTTTCCGCACCTTCCCCCCTGGTTTCTATCGCGTAATGGCGTTGATTGGGGATCGATTGCGGGATGTGTAGGAGTGTCGAACGACACGACACGACGCTGCTCCGCGGCTCCGGCTACCCCCTGTTCACGTTCGCCGAGGAGAGGGTGCAGGTCGGAGCCGTTCGACGTGGACTGCTGCTGTCCAGGCCGGTGGCGGATCGATTTTCGCGAGGGGCGGGAGGGGGTAGGGGTGGACGAGCGGAAACGGGGGCAGGGGCGCATCGTGTGCGTGGGCACAAGGATTATGCATGTGTATATATATATTATGTATATACATATATATATATATATATATATATATATATATATATATATATATTACGTATATACATATATATATATATATATGTATATATATTCAAGTCACATATATAGACGTATATTTGATATATATATATATATATATATATATGTTACGCGTATACACATATATATATATATATATATGTATATATGTATATATATATATATATATATATATATATATATATATATCAAATATACGTCTATATGTGTGATTTGAACGCGAGGGTGACTTGATGGGGAATCGGTTCAGTTTTGAGAATCTCGGAATCGTCGAGATTCGGGATGATTTCCCCCTTGTTCCTCTCTTTCGAAACCGGCGACTTCCGGCCTGTCCCGATATCCCGCTTACGTTCGCGGAGATTGAATTAGGGGTTGGAGTATTTTGTCGCAGCGAATGTCTGGCTCTCCGGGTGTGTGTGTGTGTGTGTATCGAGTTAAGTAAACTGATCATTCCCCGGGAAACGGATGCGAGTGATTGTAATGCATTGCGATGGTTTAAAGTCGGACGCGAGATTAGAGTGCCGCGATCTACTTATTATCGTGCAAAGAGACAGAGAAATTGTTAGACTGCGTGCGCGAATTAAATATAAATTGGCAATTGTTCCGATGGTTGCTGACATTATCGTCGCGCTTCTTCGAGCTTGAATTACGACGGTTATTGTTACAAGTTGTTTATGTGCCGACGTTATTTTCTTGTAATTTCTTATTTAGAATGTATATAAATTCGCTTGCATTAGACCGTAACTGTAATCTAAGATGTATCATTTGTCGTCTTGAGCGACATCAAATTTCTCCATGAAAGCTGTAGGTGTATGTACATTTATTTGTGTATACTTTTATTATGAGAAATTACAAGAATTTAAAAAAGAATATATTACACTGAAAAAAAATTATTCAATTCGAATAGTATTTATTTCAACATGGTTAAATAAATAATTTATTTGAAACTAATAATATTGATGTGAAAAATATTTATTTCATACAAGAAAATCATTTTCAAAACGTATAAATATTTCATTTGTTTCAAATAAATAATTTATTAGGCAGTATTAAAATAAATATTTATTAACTTAGTCATTTTTTTCAATGTAGGAAATAATAATTTTCACGTTTAAACTGATACTCGCGATAAAGATGATATATTGTTATTGAAAAATAATTTTAATAATAGTAATAATTTTGCATGTTTTTTTTTTTAATAAAATTATAAAGTTCCTGTTTTAAAAGTATCGCGCGCACTCATTCGTTTGCTTATCATCATGTTACTTATCGATTGCGATTCTCACTCGATTCTACCATATATACAGTTAAATTGATACCACTCGAGGTGACAGAATTCGTCATCCAGGTGGTGTTAGGTATTACACTTTTATCAGCTTTATCGTTGATAATAGTATTCAGTGACTCAAAAATTATTTACTCTAATTTTTCGCGGAAGATTTTTCAAAAAATACAGTTCATTTTATGTGTTTGATATATATGTATACACACACACACACACACTTATATATATCATGAAAATTATCTTATTAACTTATTTATACATTTATTACTGCGACACGTAAGCAGTACAAACCATACGAAATAATAATCAAGCTTTCTTCCTTTATATAACGAGCGACTGGTGGTAGAATTTTCATATTTTTCGGCTTTGTACGTGTCGCCGCAGGATTAATTATATTAACAGAACAGTCCACTTAATTATCCCAAAATAATTAATTAAACATTTAACCGGTCACAGTTGAAAAATTTGTTAAATTTAAATATCACATGTCCCAAACGGTCCACAGAAATTTTTGTATTAATTTAATATAATATGGATATATTAAATAAAGACACAAATATTGTGTTAATATTTTAAAATAAATGCAAAATGTCAAGTAATTTAAAATAAATTTTCTGTAAAATTTACTTAGTTTTAAAATTGAATAAAAATATATTAATTTTAGATTATATTATCCCGCTCCCTTATATTATAAAATAAAAAAATTAACATTTTTTTCTTTGTAAATTTTAACAGACAAATCTTGTCACTAATAAAACAACACATATTTATTGTGTAAAATTAAAATAGATGCACATTGTATTATTTTTACATTTTTTTTCACTTTTAATAATTTAACATTTAAGTTCAATTAACACACCAGCAATATGTTAAATTAACACATAAATGTGTTAAATATTTAACACACAAATTTTAATGGGGACCGTTTTTAACAAGACAACACAAATTTTTTTACTGTGATGTGCTAATAGATAAGAATAAAATTTACATGAAAGATTACACACAAATAAATTAAATAAATCTGAAAAATTATCAATGCACTTTCTTGGTAATCTTCTATTTATCTTTATTACTCACACATGCCACATCACTATTGAAATTTACACGTAATTCAATATTTCAAAAGTGAGTCAATTCGAAAAGAGAGTTTACTTTTTTCGCGAAATTAATTAAATCTATAATATTTAAGCACAAAATTAGAATCTCGTCAATCTTCTTCAATTTAATTCTTCTCACATTGAATTTTAATCGTTTAAAAATGATCGTTCATCGAAATTATGTGGTATAATAATATATATCACTTTTGAACGGAAAAATGTCAATATATTAAGGAACCAACTTCTACTTCTCGCGAAACAATTGTCAGGCTATCGTGAGTTAAAAGAAACGATATAATCTCATCGAATTATCTCTCGCACGCATATCCCAGTTGTTGCACCATTTCGAGGTACGACTGATTGTGAGTAACCATTGAAACTTGCGGAAGCACGGTAGGAATGTCGCCTTCGTTTGCGAATAAAAATAGTCGCTGTCGCGTCAGCTCCGACTTCTTAGTCTACTCTCAAGCCCGCTCGATATAACTGTCACGGCTTGCTCTTAACCCCTAGGGGCGAACCTCCTTTCAGGTTCGAAGATATTGTAGCTGAAGGCGACCATTCCACTCTCTGAAATGTTCGCGAAAATGGAAAAGTCGCGTGTGAATAACACTACAGTTTAATAAAAAAAATACAAGAAAGAGAATAATAATTTGCCGTAGTTTTTTTAGGCTAAATATGATTTTTAAATTGCTCCGTATTTAATATGAAGAAATGGAAATTAAAATTTTTAAATAATTTGTTTTAATGTTTTATTTAATTAAAAATTAAGTATGTCATTAGAACGCGCGATTTAATCTCCAAAGAGAATTTGAAAGATTCAGATTACTTGTTAAAGGTAAGTAAAAATTCTGTGATCATTTTCAGAATTAAAAAATTTTTTCAATCAGAAAACTACGGAGAAATAATTATTCACTTTCTTTAATAAAATTGCAATTGGTATTTACAACGGTGTGAAAGTAAATAAAATTTATTTTTAATTCTGTATTTAAAAGAAATACAAAATTTTGTTTTATTACAAAGTTGCAAGATATGGATTTTCATATTTAAAATAATAGAGGAAACGCGAATATAGCAATTCTTTAACGATGCAAATAATGAAGAACTGAATATGCTTCTGTGAAATTTATTCTTCGATATATAACTATATATGCTTCAAGTATTAATAAATGATTATTATTCTTTATGCAAGAGCATTGTAAAATTAAATTATTGTTCTGTTATAATTGTCATCTATCATTTATTCAATTATATTCAATTTCCATACATTGTTTAATTATTTTATATTTTATTTTAATTTCACATTTCACATTTTTCTTGCATTGTAATAATTGGCTATAATTTTATAAATGCACTTTTCATATTTGTATTTTTGTACACGCCGTCACATATGAATTTATTACATTTTGCATATATTAATTTCTATAGTTTGCTATTAATTGCTATATAAAAAATGTTTGTATTTCTACGAGAAGCATTCCCGATTCTTTTCGTTCTTTCTTACTGCTTTTTTCACTCTCCATTCCGTTTTCACGTTCGATAATCGCCTTCTTATTTTTCGTTGCTCATCGCGAGGCATCCATTGCGAATTGCCGCGATCCCGAGGTCGGAAAAATCGATCGCACATCAGTATATCTATCCATCGTCCACGGCGTATTTG